ACCCCCCCCCCCCACCTCCCTGCCCCCCGATGAGCAGGCCATCGTACACGTGGCATTGGCAGACGACAGCACTCGTCTCCCGCTCACCTGCTGATGTCCCCGGCGGCGAGGCGATTCCTGGCCTTTCTCGGCTGGGCGATTGGCTCGCTCGGCACTGTCTTCCTCAACGAGTGGATGTTTGTCAAGGCGCATGTGTTCAACTACCCCGTAACCCTCACCATCATCCACCTTGCCGCCACCTGTGTCACCTCGTTGCTCCTCGGCTGGATGTTCCCGCTCTCGGGCGCAGTGCCACTGGCGCACGCTCAGAGCGACTCTGCAGGCGAGGACCGAGGCGAAATTGGGAATGGGGATGGAGAAGGGCTTGCGGAAGGTGCGTGGCAAAGTTCATCCCTGTACGCTTCCCTGACAAGGTTCTGGATGTCGGCAAAGACTGCTATGGCCTGGCACCCCTTTCCGCCTCTGCTCTGGCTTCGCAACATCCTCCCGCTCGGTCTGGCGTACTGGGGCAACGTGGCGTGCAACAACTTGTCGTTTGAAGACTTGGAGGTCGACTTTCTGCAGGTGGTCAAGGCTACGGGTCCGATGTGGGTTCTGTTTATTACCATGGCTGTGGGAACTCAAAAGGCCACTCCATCGCTGGTGGCCATCATTTTCCTCATCTCGGGCGGCATCATCCTCGCCTCGCTCGGCGAGCTGGCCTTTGTTTGGCGCGGCTTCTTCCTTGCCATCTCCGCCACCATTCTCTCGGCCATCCGCACCGCTCTCATTGAGAACGCCACGCTGCACTCGCCCATCGATCCGCGGCAGCTGTACCCGTCGACCGGCCCCGCCGCGTTTGTCCTCCTCTTCGCCGTCTGGCTAGTCACCGACGGGCCGATCCTGCTCTCGCCCGAGTCGCGCGGCGACGGCGCTCACCACCACCCCGACTACTCGGGTGGCCAGGTCTTTCTCATTGTCATCGGCTCATCGGCGCTCGCTGTCCTCTCTAACTTTGGCCGCTACGCCTGGATCGCCTCCTCGTCGTCGATTATTTACTCGGTGACCGGCGTGCTCAAAGACGTGGTCATCATCGTCTTCTCGCTCGTCTTCCTCGGCGAGTCGGTCACCGTGCTCAAGGTCATCGGCATCTGCCTGGCCTTCTCGGGTGTGGTTTGGTTCACCTACCTCGAGAACACCAGCGATGAGGCAACAACCGCACCGGCCGGCTACGGCCAGCTCGCCGGAGAAAGCACCGAGTCGGACTGCTCGCTCGGCGGCGGCGTCTTTGCCATCGGCGCCGGTGACGAACTGGGCACCTCGGATGAGCTCGACGAGCTCGATGAGCTCGACGGACTCTGAAGCAGGCTCTCGCCCACCACGACCGCGTGGCGGCCGCATCCTACGACGAGCGCTTGGCGGCCACAGTCTTGTTCTGCTTCTTGGTCGCCGCCTTCTTCTTGCGGACCGCCTTTTTCTTGGACCGCCTCGGTTTGGCGACGACCGGCAGCGGCAGCGGGGTGCGGACCCGGTGGCGGTTCGGGAAACACTTGGCCCGCGGGCGGTTGTTGCGGGTTAGGATGTCGTCGCCCGAGTCGGTCGACTCAGAGTCGCGCGCCTCCCACAGGTCGATCCGTTGCAGCGTCTTCTCGGTATCAACACATATCCAGCCATGACGGGTGTGCTCCAAACCGATAAAGCACTCGCGCCCGCGCATCGCCTGAAACATGTACTCGGGAAGCTGGTGGTTGCAATCCTTGGTGGCAAACATGACGTTGTTCTCCACAATCGTCCCTTCGATGGTCCCGGGCAGGCCCTCGAGCGGCTTCTCCTTCTTGCGGCCGCGGCTCATCCACGGCTTGTCACCAATCGACAGCTTGATGACATTGTTCTCCGGCCACGAGTACTCGGGCAACCCATCGGCGTTGAGACGTGGGCCAGCAGGCGCTTTGGCGTCGGCCTTGGACCCGTTGCTCCCCTCGTCCATTGCAACCACGTTCGAGCCGCCCGACCCGTTGTCGGCGCCGCCATTGACAGCCACCGTCGCGGCCTTCTTCCGACGGCGGCGGCACCGGATCGTTATCTTTCTCGCCACAAGCGTGTCCTCCTTACACGCCTCGCCCTCGTCCATGGCCACGACATCGGCTTCGGCGCTGCCCTTGCTAGGGATCACGCCCGTGACGCCCCGGTCGACGCCAGTCGCGTCCGACATGACATCACTCTTGTTTGATGTCACCACAGTCTCGCTGTTGCTCTTTCCCTCGCCCTTGACCGTGCCCTCGCCCCTGCTGTTGCTGTCGCGGCCAGGCGACTTCCCAGAAGTCTTTGCCGCCTTGGCAGCCACGATGACCTGGCTCGAGCAGCTGCTCTCATTCGAGTCGCTGTCGCTGTCCAAGTTGACAATAACCACATCATCCTTCATCTTGACCTCATCACGAGCCTCGCTCGATGCTCCTGACCCAAACCCTGACCGTGACCCAGACCAAGACCCTGACCCAGACCCTGACCCAGACCCTGTACCATCGGAATCAGCACCAGGAAGCAATGGCTTGACAGCCGCACCAGCATGAATCCTCCGCCCACCACCACCACCGCCACCACGGCCTCTTCCTCGCCTGGTTCCCTTCTTGGCCACAGACAACCGTACAACATTCGGCGTAATCCCCATCCTGCCCTTCTTCCTCCCCTCAGTCCCAAGAGAGAGAGACAGAGAGAGAGAGAGAGGTACCCCATCTCCTCCTCTCCCCCCCCCTCCCCCCCCCCCCCCCCCTCGCCAAATGTATGCACGACTCCATTCACGCCCCATGGTCACCAAATGAACAATCCATCCGCCATCCAACACAAAAAAACAAAGGCGGGTGGCATTGACGCCATCGTCCCCGGCCCGGCGGCCACCGGCCCACCACCAACCCACCACCACCACCAACGCAAATGGCTTTGGAAGTCCTTCCATACATCCTCTGCAATCCTCCCTCCCTCCCCCCTCAAACAC